AAACCCTTTAAATGGTACTGGACAATAGTTCGCGCAAAATTGTCCCAGTACTTTAGTACTGTACATTTAGTTCTGGAACTAAAGCGGTGCGAAAGGCCCTTATGGTAACGTAGAGCTCCTGCACTCAGATTCTAACGTTAGCTTGTTTGTGGTCATAGCAAAAATAAAGATTTTTTGAACAGCAGAAAAAGTGTAAAAGTATGTAAAAATGACAGGACTGAAACATGTACTTTTTATAGAAGATGGTGTTCTCCTGTGCCAAGAGCCAGTATTAAACATTTAGCCAGTTACTTCCGCTTTTTCCGTGCAGCTTTCAGCGTGTGGGACTGTTAGCGTTATTAATAAAGGAACGTGAATGAATGAGATAGTAAAGAGCGGGACATGCTTGATATTTTCAACACCGTAAACCCCTTGTAAATCAACATCACAGTAAAACCCTGCACAATTTTTGACGGTTAGTTGAATATTTGTGTATTTTACTTTCCATGGTCCTAATAAAGTTACTATTATTAAAACGTTATTGAAAAAAGAAAACATGCTTTTTTATATATAATATTAGGCTATATATATATTATATATATATTGGCTCTTTTGGAAAAATGCATTAACCAAAAATTAAAAATTGGCTCTTTGGTCTAAACAGATGTGTCCTTTGTGGAAAGAAACATAAATGTTGTGCAAGATACTATTCACAACAAACTGCACGCATTTCTACAGAGAACTGACAGAGAGAGATTTGATTATCAGATCAACCGCGAAGCCCCGTTCTCTCAGATTGAGATGATGTTTTACAATAAACTTCTAGTTAATGTTAGTTAATGCATTAACTAACATTAACAATGAGCAATAAATTTGTTGCAGTGTTTATTCATCTTTGTTAAAGGGATAGTTCACCCAAAAAAATTAATTTGATGTTTATCTGCTTACCCCCAGGGCATCCAAGATGTAGGTGACTTTGTTTCTTCAGTAGAACACATATGATGATTTTTAACTTTAACCGTTGCAGTCTATCAGTCTTATAATGCATGGCAATGGTAACAAAATCTATGAGAGTAAAAAAAACATGCACAGACAAATTCAAATTAAACCCTGCGGCTCGTGACGACACATTGATGTCCTAAGACATGAAACGATCGGTTTGTGCCAGAAACCGAACAGTATTTATATCATTTTTTACCTCTAATACACCAATATGTTCAACTGTCTTTGGGCGCGTGCTCGGCATCCGGTGCATGAGGTGTGTATGTGCTCTGGCGTAGTTACGCAAGCGCCGGAAGTGATCTCTCGTGCGTATACGTCACTCATTGTTTACACAGTGCACAGTCATTGTAGGTACGA